AGCTGAGCTCGAGCCCAGGAATCTGGATCCGGTCTGGATCCACCTGGAATCGGTCCGGATCCAGTCTAAAACCCTGTTTCGCGATTTTCAGCATTGGAATGGGATTAGGACTCTTGGGAGCCACCCTAGGGTTATAAAAAGCCCTAGCCACGTCCTAGAACATCAGAGGACCTTAGAGAACACCTAGATACACACTTTTGGAGAACTTTTGGTGAGAGAAGAATAGAAGTTCACGGGATTTCGGGAAGAAGAAGGAGGATTCGATCGTGAAGACTAGATATCAACATGAGCTTTTCTATCCTTTCTTTTATCTCTTTTTCTCTGTTCTTTCTATTATTTTCCATGAACCTTGAGTAGATCCATGACTATGGGTTAGGGATTCGTATGTGTTTTGGGTATGTTTGAACCCTAACTTGGATTTCGGTTTTGATTTGATTCGGTTCTATTGATTTGCACTTTTATTGGATTGATGTTTGCTAACCCCTTGATCAATTATCTTGGATTCTGAACCACATAGAGATATGGGTTTGTTTCGGATCAAAATCAATAGGATAGATCGTATTATTCACATAGAGATATGGCTTAATCGATTTAGGTTGATGATAGCGTTCTTTATGCACCTAGGGTTAACTTGAATAGATCGAGAGATTGACGAGTTACTCTGTAGGTAGGGAGTTAGTAGACCGAGAGGTGAATTCTCTATCTTTGTTGCTTGATGATTCCCGAATACAAGTCATAATCGTTATTCTCGCATACTTAGAATATACCCATACACGCGAATACGATCCCGACACCCGTAGTCATCCTTGTTTGATAGGTCACTCGTTTTTATTTGCTTTCTTATATTGCTTACCATTGATTCTACATATTTCCACCATCACATGCTTGCTTGCTTTGATCTCTTTTCGATCTAGATTTGGATTTAGCAACCGGTCCTCGTGTTCGATCCCGTGTTACGACGATCCGTATCCTTGCGGTGAGTTGTGAATCGGGTTATATATTTTAGACTCGGTACACACGTATCAGAGACCAACGCAAATATGAAAAAGAAACTCTCTCCCAAACCTCTCTGATCTACCAATCTGAGGATGAATCTTTCTCTCGTAAACCCTCAAGTAGAACCGATGTTTCTCATGCCACTCAGATTCCTCTCAATGAAATAGAAAAGCTAACATGAGATGCAAAGTTTCTGATACCTCTGAAAAGCACATACCACAACCTTTTAACTAAACAAGGGAGTTGTCATATGTCAACTAACTGAAATAACGGTATAGCCTTTTCAACTCTGCCCCACCCACTTGACATTCTGTCTTTTCTTCCTTTTGTCATATATTGATGCGATTAATCTGGCCGTATTAATGTTGTGGTAGACAATCTAATTTAGACCCATATTTATGCTTTTGATTTTCTTTGTTTCCGTTTCATGGTCATTCTATCTGATTTCTATGACTTGGGAGGCTTATTATGCTTCACCTAGAGAGCCGGTTTTTGTGAAGTCTAAAGGGACTGTCATTTGGCTATTCTCACTTGTTTGGCAGCTACGAGTCCGAATTTATCAAGGAAATCGTTACAGAGGTTGAGAGAGTACTAACTGCGATTCCATCCGGGCAAAAAGGATATCGCTCTTACAATCATATGCGAAAGGAAAGGAGAAATGCCCCTTATGCCTTGTATCAGTCTCGTCACTGGAGAAGAACAAAATCCAGGACATTCTGGTGACAATATGTATTCCATGGATACCCATGATCTTAGTATCTTTACCGACAAGATGCGTCTGTTGTTAACTCCTTTGCATGTTCTGGTGCTTTCGTTTGAGGTATGATTGTTTACAAGAAGCGACCGCTACATCTTTCTAGGAAGTGTCTTTCGATAGGTGGTGGTGAATCCTTTAATGTTCTGGTGTTCCTGGGCAGAAGTTAAATAACAAATATGTAACAATTTGATGGAAGTAGTGAAATTTCTTTGTTCTGTTAATGAGATGAAGTCTTCTGCTTTTGTTTATAGCACCATTTTCTTATGACAAATCATACACAGTTAAATGATAGTCTCCCTTAAATGATATCATCGAATACCATCTCCGGAAGTGTTTTCCAAAATAGCGAGAGTAGTAGTAACTATTAAGACTCGAGTGAATGTTAATCCTTGTGGTTTCAGTTTTGTATGTGGTTTAATTTTTCTTTTGTGAAAGTTCTGCCAATGGCTTCTTGTATTGAAACTATCTTGTTTCCACCTTGTAGGCCCAAACTGGAGAATTGGAGTTCTGAGGTGGCTACAAAGCTACTTTGTCACCCGATGATTGAAAATGAGGATTCCCTTACCATGAAGGATAGCACATTACAGTACTACTTTAAAAGGATAGACCATATTTTACTGACTCAATCTGCGGTTGTCCTAAGGGAATTAACGATGGGTGATTGGACGGTTAATGTTGGGCATGTCGTGTGGCCCTTGGGACAAATTTGCTGCTGCATTGTCTCTGACCGCAGAAAAATGAGTTTTGTTCCAATGTCCTAAAGCCATAGGAAATACTAAGTGGAGAATGCCGGTAATCTGCTATGGCCATTGCTTTATATGGAGAGGCCGGGAATATGCTTTGCGAGACGATGTAGCATCTGGAATCCGGAATGGTTGCTATTTTATACACCTCGTTGATGATGGGCCGTTAATTATTAGGTAATGTTCATGTTCTTGCTTTCTGTTTTGCTGCTTGGAATTCCAATGTCTCGGAATGAAGGCAATCTGTTAAGTGAAGAAATTATTCAACTGTGAGAAACTGGTGAGTTTTCACCCTCTTTCGTCCTTTGGATCTGTCTAAAACCCCAAAGAGGTATTCGTGAAAGAGCCAATGATTTTGATTGCAGGAAAAACAAGTTTTATGTTTTTTTTGGAATATTTGCTATTAACCCCTATATCTTTAATTTTGATTTGTACCGTGTGATTTGAAAGTGGGGTTGACTTACAATTTAAGTTACTCTTTTGTGGATAGTATTTGTGTTGAAAACATATTGGAGTTAATATTTTGAAATATCAGTGTGTATCTCTTGATTTTTGATATTTGATATTGTGGTAACGTAAGGCCACAAAATTGTGAATATAAAATGCCAGGTGAAGAGAGTAACCAGTGATGTTGGCGAAGGCAATGGCAAAGGGACCGTCGGCCATGAAGAAAATGGAGACAGACGATGCGGTGAAGGGTGATGGAGAGGTAAGCACCAAATGCTTGTGAACAAAGAGATGAATCAATAGCTAAAGCTGACACAATAGAGTAACCAGTGACGTTGGCGAAGGCAATGGCGAGGGAACCCCCGGCAAGAATGACTCCCCCCTCCCCCACCTAAAGCCTTTAAAATCCCCCCCACTGGCTCCTTCTCCTCTTCCTGTTTCATGATCTTTCTCCTCCCTTCATTGCCCCATTTCTTCCATTGCTTTCCATTGAAATTTTCATCTGGGTAATAATTTGATATCCTTCATTTGAATTTTACTTTGTGGCTAATCTCCTTTGGTGGGTTCTCTTTTTTTTCTTGAAACAAAATAAGCCAGTGATGGTGAACAGATCATGAAGTGGAAGGATGCATTGGAATCCGTTTCCGACAAGATGGGTTTGATCTTCAAGATGGGTTTGATCTTCCGAGACATGAGGTGCTGTTCACTATTATCCAGAGTTCTGATACAAGTTAAAAAGAATCTACACAACCTTTTAACCAACAAGGAGTTGGCACATGTTAAACTTAACTGAAATAACGGTATTGCCTTTTCAACCCTGCCCCTCCCACTTGTCATTCTCTTTTTTCCCCTCGTATCTTGTCTTCACCAAAGGGGCCATTAATTTGGTTGTAAATCTGAATTAGACCTATAGAGTTATTCTTGGAGAAGCCTTGAGGGACTTTCATTGGTTATCCTCACTTGTTTTTGCAGCTACGAGTCCGAATTCATCAATGAAATCGTTACGGAGGTCAAGAGAGAGCTGGCTGCATCGCCTTACGGGGAAAGAAGGTATCATTCTTACAATCATATCCAAAAGAAAAGGAGAAATGGGCCTTATGTTTTGTATCGGTCTCCTCGCCGGAAAAGAACAAAACCCGGAAAATTCTGCTGACAGTGAATATTCCATGGATGCCCATATGATCCCAGTACCTCTACCGACAAGATGTGGTCGTTGTTCTTGGGAATGTTTTCCGAATAGGGGAATCCTGTAATGTTCTGTTGTTGTTTTTCTTATGGGAGGAAGTTGAATAACGAATCTGTAATAGTGGAAACTTCTTTGTTTTGTGAATGTTTTTTTCTCTTTCTATAATGTTTTTTTTCTCTATAATCGTATATCCTAAATCGTGTATTGAACAAGTGTACTTGATCTTATTTTTGGAATTAGACGAAATGGGTTGGTCCGAATCTCCAGTTGCTGCATCGTGAGGTCGCAGCCAGGGAACCATGGTGGAGAGAGACATAGAGACTTGTAGCGTATCAAGATAAAAATAAAGGTTTGAGGCAGGGTGATCCGTTGTCACCATGGTGGTCCAAATTCTCCATATTTATAAATGGGGAGTTTGTAGGATACTTCAAGGGAAAACGAGGTTTGAGGCAAGGTGATCTGTTGTCACCTTACTTGTTCATCCTCTCTATGAAAGTTTTAACCAAGATGCTAGATCGAGGTGCAGCTCTCGGCCACCTTGTACCACATCCTAAATGCCATTCACCAGCCATTACACATCTGGCATTTGCAGATGATGTGATGATCTTCACTAGTGGGGAACCTCAATCTCTACAAACAGCTATCACCATACTGCATTCCTTCAGGTTGTTCTCTGGGTTGGCCATAAATCGTGACAAAACAGAGCTTTTTTTGACAGGAGTGAATGCCCAACAAGTTGCCAACTTATCTTCATTCCTGGGGATCAGATTAGACACTCTGTCAGTCCGTTATCTCGGTGTTCCTCTGAGTCCGTGCAAGCTTTCGAAACATGACTACCAGCCACTAATTGATAAGATCAAAGGCAAACTCAGTAATTGGTCTACAAAATTCTTATCGCAAGCCGGAAAAACTCAACTCATCTCGTCGGTTATTTATGGGCTTGTTAACGCGTGGAGCTCTATATTCATGTTGCCTAAACACTTCCTTAAGAAGGTTGACAGTCTTTGTGCGTCATTCTTGTGGAAATCAAACATCACCTCCAAAACCCCTTCACATATATCTTGGGATAAAATCTGCCTACCTAGACAAGAGGGTGGAATTGGGTTACGTAAGCTGGCTAAGTACAATAATATCTTCAGGCTAAGACAAATTTGGTTACTCTTCAGTAACTCTGGATCGCTTTGGGTGGCTTGGATGCGTGCAAATGTCATCCGAACCATCAGTTTCTGGGATCTGAAACCAACTTCGGCGACCTCATGGAATTTCAAGAAATTGTTGACAGCAAGGGAGGAGGCTCGCTTGTTCCTCAAATTGCAGGTGAATAATGGGGAAAAAACGCATTTCTGGCTCGACGATTGGACCAACCTTGTACCGCTGATCCAACATGTGGGGGAGATGGGTCCGAGACTGATGCGTATTCCAAGGCAAGCTCGAGTTTGTACGGTTGTAGCGGGAGCTCGGTTGGACAGAATTCAGCAAGTACATGAGGCGTTAGCCGACATTGAACCACCGGATGAAAATAGAGGAAATGACAGAGCACTGTGGAAGCATGGTAACAACGATTATAAAGGAATCTTCTCAGCTCGGAAAACATGGCTGCAACTTCGGTCTCCCAAGCCCCTCAACAGTCTGGTTTCGCGAGGCGCTGCCTCGTTATTCTTTTCTACAATGGCAGGTACTACTTTCAAGGTTGCCGACGAAAGATAGGTTGTTACGCTGGAGAATCGATGTGGATCCTACATGCTGCCTCTGTGGGATCGAAGTGGAAACGCATGACCATCTATTTCTTCGATGCTCATACAGTAAAGCCTTATGGGTTGCGTATGCAGGTAGATGTTGGGATAATCCACCAACGGGGTTGACGGACTGCATCTCTTGGATCATAGCCAACAGCAACACAAATATCAGGGATAAACCGACGATCGTAAAGCTCCTCCTACAGGCCACGATATACGTCATATGGCAAGAACGGAACAATCAGATTTTCATACATGAAGCTCGCTCCTCTGAGAGGATCCGTTGGAAGCTGGACAAGGCTCTAAGGAATATTCTGCTCTCCATCATACTGCGGCACCCTAATACGACAGGTTCAACACATGGATTAAACTTGTATTTTGTTTGTTATGCGGAAATTATGAGCATTTGATCTGGGAATTCCTTGTTACTCCTTCGGATACAGACTTAAAAATCTGGTTGTAGAATACTTTATTTTTCGGTATATATACAATCACATTAAACCAAAAAAAGAAAAAGATAAAAATAAAAATAAAAAATATATATATAGTTGTCATTAAATCTCATCTTTCATAAGACACCTCCACGTCATAACCGATAATATAATATTATATATATATATATTGTATTTACATTTAGAACAATTAAGTACCATATAAACACTACTTATATTAATGAATTAAAAAAATCATATAACTGAAAATCTATTAGAAAGTAATGTTTGAAAACTAATGTACATGATTTACATTATATATATATATATCAATATATAATTAATTTCCGAAACAAATATGAATATCTTTTTTGTTATTTTTAAGATTTAAGTAATACATTAAATCTATGCTAACTAATTAAATATAGTGTACCTGATTCTTTTAGCACCGAAACTGTGTATATATATATATATATATATATTATAATCCGTATATGTATTTATTTTTATGGTGGAGTTTGAATATTTGATAAGTGTCGGTTATGATCCGTATAAACTTTTAACAATATTATAATTAAACTTCGGCTTGACGTGCACAATCCGTGGAGAATAGATGATAGAGAAGTTAGAAAGGATAGAGAGGGACATTTTCGTTTAGAGTTCTTAATGTTTTACAAAATTAAAAACGAGTCCTAACCTTTAGAAATATGATTATAAAACACCACACATTTTCCTTTGAATCATATTGAATCCTAATATTAACTTTTTCTAGTTTGGATTTTGGGACAAGGAATTTGAGACCCGAGATAGTAAGGCATAAGACAAAAAACAATGGAAAAATTATAAATGACAATTACAAATGATGGACAACATATATGAACAATTCATGAGAAATGTGGAAGTAAAAATAATTTTTAAGTCTTTAGTTTTGAGATATTTTGCACTCATTTTTACCATGCTTGTCTTTGCCATTTTCAAGGCAACAAATTTTTTTTTTCACTCTCTCGTTAGCACTTATATTTGTTTATTTTTATTATTTTAATACTTGTAAGTAAATATATATTACCACAAAATGCATAAATGAAAAAATTTTAAAACTGATAAAAGTTATATTCGTTTTTCTGATGATTTTATCGTACTTCCATTTTATTTACTTTTAGATTCGTAATTATGATCAACGTTATTTTCATTCATTTATATCAGATTCTTTTGCTATAGGTAAAAATATTTTCCAAATGGGTCAATGGAATTGCCACCAAAAGTTAAATACATAATATGGTTCAGAGAAAAATAAGAGGAGCCGTTAACAAAAAAAATAAAATAAGAGGAGCTTCTTGTTAGATTAGAAAGTATTAGAACTTATATTGATTTTAACAAAGTTGAGCGTTTCCTCATGAAAGTGAACGAAGAAAAAAACATCGCGGCCTGCGCCTGACATTTGTTTTTGGTAATTGGTAAGGCAAGGTGGAGTCCAACCTTGGTGTCGGGGAACTTTCCAAATTGTCCATCATTTTCTTGAATCCCGAAAGCCGCCGAAACAAGGTGTGTATCTGTGTGTATATATATACGCATACGTCTCGTCTCAGTTCTCTCCCCACAGCAAAAATCACGTATCGATGGGGTCCTTCTCTCGCCGTCTCCATCTCCCTCCGCCGCCGCAGCAACATGAAGTGTTCATTAGTTACCGCGGAGAAGAGCTCCGCTATGGATTCCTCAGCCACCTCATCGGCGCCTTTCACCGTCATCGGATCAGATTCTTCATCGACAATGGCGAACGAAGAGGTGAAGATCTGAAAAACCTGTTCGTGAGAATCGAAGAGTCGAGAATCGCATTGGCCATCTTCTCGAGGAGATATCCAGAATCAGAATGGTGCTTGGACGAGCTGGTGAAGATCAACGAGTGCATGAAGATGGGGAACTTGAGAGTGATTCCAATCTTCTACAAGGTGGAACCAGATGACGTCAGAAGACAGAAGGGAGATTTCGGTGAAAGCTTCTGGAAACTGGCAAAGGAATCGAAGGGTGAACAGATCATGAAGTGGAAGGATGCTTTGGAGTCTGTCTCCGACAAGATGGGCTTGACCTTCGTATATGAAGATATTATTCTTAGAATATTATCATTAATATTGTTATGATTTACCCTATATATTATGTTTAGAATATTCTATTATATTTTGCTATATATTATGATGTATTCTTCCCATTATCAATATAACAGAAAACATTTCCCTATTATGGTATCAGAGCATTGGTTTTTGCTTTAGATTTTTTTTTCATCAACAATGTCGGTCGAATCCGAAAGCGACGATGAAGATGATGATGATCTACTCTAATAGTATCATCGTCTTGAATATCATCTTTCATTCTTTTTATTTTTTTTTTCTAGATTTTTTTTTTCCGACGACGGTACTCATCACCGTCAACCCTAGCCGATGTGCTATATTTTTTTTACGACGATGTTCGTTTATCGACGTCAACCCTAGCCGATGTGCTACTTTTTTTTTTCTCTGACGACGTTCGTTTATCGATGTCAACCCTAGCCGTTGTGAGCTCTTTAAACATGGCTTTTACCCTCTTTCGATTGGAAAACTCCGATCACCGATCCACGTATTTACGTCCCTTACTTTTTTTCTATCTTGCTCCGCTGCTACACTATCACGCATTATGCGTCGCGCTTTTGCGCCAATTTTTTTTCTCCGGCCTAGCCGCTATATACACCACAATTTTTTGCGCTGCCGATTTCATTGTCGTGCAACTCAACTCGCGCCTATGCGCCGCACATCCGTGCCACATCAGCCTCTGAAAATACAACTCTCAAGCTCTTCAAACGTTATCAAGCAACACCAACTCAAGTCTGGACTACACCACCTCATGGAAGATGCTTCGTTTAATACGATCATAATTTCAGTTTTCAGTTTTTATGTAACAAGATTGAATTCATCATAGATGATTCATCTTGAGGGGGCATATAGGAAGATATTATTCTTAGAATATTATCATTAATATTGTTATGATTTACCCTATATATTATGCTTAGAATATTCTATTATATTTTGCTATATATTATGATGTATTTTTCCCATTATCAATATAACAGAAAACATTTCCATATTACTTCGGACACAAGAGGTAACGTTATGTTTCTTTTTTCCCAAGAGGGATCGGAGATTAATCTTAAGGCAATTCCATTGATTAACCTCACTTGTTTTTGTAGATACGAGTCTGAATTTATCAAGGAAATCGTTACGGAGGTTGAGAGGGTTCTTCTACCTGCGAATATTCCATCCAGGAGGAACAAATACGATCATCTCCAGAGGAAACGGAGAAATGGCCCTTACACCTTTACCTTTTATCACTGGAGAAGAACAAAGCCCGTGAAATTCCGGTGACAGTATGTGTTCCATCCAAGAAAAGATCTTACTATATTAATTTTCCGACAAGATGCGTCTGTTGTTAGTTATTCCCTTTTGAGGTATGAATGTATACGAAAGAAGCGGCTGCTTCGCTTTCTATAGAACGTTTGCCGAAAAGGGCCGGAGAGATCCTGGTTTTGTTGGGCAGAAGTGGAATAACAGATCATGCGGGAAAATAGTGTAAATTTCTTATCGTCTTTCGTCTTGGTTCCATGCCGATGGCTAGACCAGAGAGAACAGAAGAAACCCTGCGATGGACGTATTAGGGCTAGCTCGGATTCGGAATGTGGCCGCTTGTGGAGATTCGGTGTCGCTATTTCTCGTTTTATCAAACATAAAAAATAAATAAAGAAAATGCGTTTTTTACTTGGGAATTCAAAGAAATTCGTGAGAGTGATGCATGCATGCAACTTCTGCATACAAGGGTTTCATATCTCACGTGCATAAACGTTCCAAATGTCTTGTCTGAACTACGTCACTCTAAAGTAATAAAAGAAAATAAAAACCGTGAGTGAAATATATTTCTACGTCGTTCACAACTATATATAAAATATGGATATTTTGTCGTCGTCAACTTTCCGTGGCCTGTTCGTGTATAATGGAAATAACCCTGAATTTTTGTAGTTTCATTTAATTATCTTTAGTCAAGAAATGTGATATGTTCAGGCCGAAAATCAACAAGATTTCTCTATCTTATTCATCAACCAAAGCCACATTAACCTAGCTACAGACAAAGGAAAAATAGATTACAAAATATAAGTTTGCCATATCCAAGTTATACGCATTATCTCCTCATTAAAATGCGACACGTACGGCGTTCGACCCAGAGATCCGATTTTTTTTTTTAAATAAAAATAGAGGTGTCCGAATGATCAGGGTTGGGTAAAAATTATCGGATCCACAAATATCAAAATCCGAAAATTATTGAAGAATTGGATGCCCACATGAATTGGGAACATATTACATATATTAGTGAAGAATGTAACTTAATTTACAAAAGTAATAATACAGAAAATTCTAAATCTCTCTTTTGCGCCTTTCTCTTTCTTTTTAATTTCTCTCCGATCACCGCTAAAACTTCAACTAATCCGCCAAAGTAATAAAAAAAATCTATTTAAAACTTCAACTATTTAGCATTCAAATAAAATGTTCAAAAAATTAAAAATCGTTATCTATTTAAACTTCTAAATAAAAATACAAAAATTTATAACTTTTTGGTTAAATTAGCATATATGATACTACTCTATGTGACTTTATGGTATATATATATATATATATATATATATATATGTGTGTGTGTGTGTACAGCCAAGGCTAAGCTGATCACGCGTCATGCTTATGACGCCAGCAGTAGAAAGGTAATTTAGTATTTAATAAGATTAATAAACTTATTGTTCTTTATCTACCCAATATCGTAATTGATCCATCGCTATGTCGTTTCTGTATCCGTATTATTTTAATAAATACACACATGTTTTTACCCAAAAAATCCTTCCACTTCATGATATGTTCACCTCGACAATTCTTGGCAAGAATCTTTATCTACCCAATATCCTAATTCTTGGAAGATTCTTGCCAAGAATTGTCGAGGTGAACATATCATGAAGTGGAAGGATGCTTTGGAGGCCTATCACAGATATACACAGGCCCAATCATTAAAAATGGCCCAGTCTGTGTAGGGTCAAGCCCAGAAGAAAGCTGAGAACGTAACAAACTCGAAGACGACATTCAGTTTTCGTTTTCTTCATTTTTCTTTTTATTCTCCACAATTTGTTAGAAGTTTGTTAGGAATTTGTTATTCTTTTCTGTATAAAGCCATGTACAGATTGATGATTATGGAATATAGAGAAAATTTCTTCAAACACTGAAATGGTATCAGAGCTTTTTCTCTGATTTTCTTTCTTTTTGCACTTTCTTTCTTTCTGGGTTTTCTGGGTTTTCTCTGCATCTTCCATGGCAGACCCTGATCCCGCTGTTCTTGCTCCGGTTGTTGCGGTTGCTCCTCCAGCTCCGTATACACCCGATTTTGACAGTCCTTATTATCTCTCGACTTCCGATCATGGTGGGGTGGTTATCGTCACAAAACCCCTGACTGGCGCGGGAGATTTTCCTTCTTGGCTTCGTGCTTTCCGAATGGCTCTCGAGGGTCGGAACAAGATTGGCTTCGTCGACGGTTCTCTACCCATGCCCGCGGAGGACGATCCAACTCATCGTTTCTGGGTTCGAAACAACGCCATTGTGGGTGGTTGGATCATGAACTCGGTTGCTGAGCATATTGCTCAGAGCTTGCTTTATGTTGACACGGCTCGAGACATGTGGTTGTTTCTGTCGAAGAGCTATCAACAAAGCAGTGCCCCTAGGAAATATAGGGTCAAGCAGAAATTGCGCGATTTGCGTCAAGCCTCGATGGATGTCGCCTCCTACTTTACTGCCATCTTTGCCGTTTGGAAGGAGTTTAAGTCCATCCGAGCCAATCACTCGTGCACTTGTGGCCGCTGCACATGTCTTCTTTCAAAAAGATGGAATGATGAAGATGAAAGTGACTTCGTCATTGATTTCCTTTTTGGTCTCAATGACGAATATGAGGGAGTCCGTAGTCATATTCTTGCCATGGATCCACCTCCTGATCTTCAAACCGCCTACAACCTTGTTCTTCAGCAAGAGCAACAGCGACTTATTCGCCCTGTGAAGCCCTCTGACGCGGTTGTTTTTCAAACTTCTTCTCCTTCCTTGCCCGAAGCTATATCTGCTGTCTCTGGCTCTACTTTCAAAGGGAAGCAGCGACCGCTTTGCACTCATTGTGGGTTGTATGGCCACACAATCCAGAAATGTTACCGGCTTCACGGCTTTCCACCTGGTTACCGAGCTCCGAAATCTGGTATAACAGCATCTCCTCGTCCTTCAGCTCGATCACAGACCAAGCCTTCCAACAACTTTGCAAATGTTGCCACGGATACTGGTTGTGTTGCTGATGTGGATAAGCTGTCTTTGAACCAGATTCATGATCTTTGTTCTAAGATCAATAATCGCCTCAAATCATCCAATGCTACCATCACAGAGAACGGCGCTCCTGCCTCTGATCCAGACGCTGGTAATACTCATCTCCTCTCTGCCTTTGTTTGCAACACATCATCTGTTTCAGGGGAGTTTCATAATTCCTGGATTTTGGACTCCGGTGCTTCAGCTCATGTTTGTTTTAACAAACATTTGTTCTCTGAGATTGTTCCCATTGCTCCCAGTACCGTGACTTTGCCTAATGGTCTTCAACTCTCGGTTACACAAGCTGGACGTGTCCCCTTGAATGATCATTTACTGCTGTTGAACGTACTCTATGTCCCGTCTTTTACCTTCAACATTATCAGTGTCAGTGCTCTTCTCCGCGGCACTAATCTTTCCTGTATTTTCTCTTCTGATTTTTGCTCTATTCAGGAACGTTCTCGGGGATCGACGATTGGGAGGGCTAAGCTCTTGCACAATCTCTATTTCCTCGAGTCCGATTTCAAACCTGTTATCCCCTCGTTTTCTATCAATTCTGTTTATGTTGATACTTCACTATGGCACTCTAGACTTGGTCATTTGTCATTTCACAAGTTGCGATCAATGTCACAAACGCTTTCTCTTTCAAATTTTAGCTCTCCTTCACACTGTCGCGTTTGTCACCTCGCCAAACAACGTCGTCTCCCTTTTCCTTCGAACAATAATATCTCAAAATCTTTGTTCGATCTTATACACATTGATGTTTGGGGGCCTTTTTCTCATCTCTCTCATGACGAGTATAGGTATTTTCTAACGATAGTGGATGATCATTCTCGGGTGACATGGGTATATATGCTGCGGCATAAGAATGAGGTTCTACAGGTTGTGCCTAATTTTTTGACAATGGTCGAAACTCAGTATGCACTAAAGGTCAAGGCAGTCCGATCAGACAATGCGCCGGAATTGAGCTTCGCCTCTCTGTTTCAATCTAAAGGGATTCTACACTATTTCTCCTGCGTTCAAACCCCGCAACAGAACTCCGTGGTCGAACGCAAACATCAGCATATTCTGAATGTTGCTAGGGCGCTGCTGTTTCAAGGAAACATTCCTCTATCTTTCTGGTCGGAGTGTATCAGAACTGCGGTCTTCCTGATTAACCGGACTCCGTCGCCGCTTCTGGCCAACAAGACTCCGTATGAACTGTTAAAAGGCAAGGCTCCAGACTATTCCTATCTCCGAGCTTTCGGTTGTCTGGCGTATGCATCCACCCTTGCCTCGGAACGCCATAAGTTTTCAGCAAGGGCACGAGCGACGGTCTTTCTCGGTTATCCCTCCGGTTACAAAGGTTATAAACTCCTTGATTTGGAATCCAATTCTGTCATTATTTCCAGAAACGTCGAGTTTCATGAGAACATATACCCTTTTCATTCTGATATATCGATAATCCCTGATACAATATTTCCTTTACCCATTCTTCCTTTACCGATATCCGTTTCTTCAAACCCACCTTTAGATTTCGGCCAAAGCCTTTTTTTAACTACTAGCCCAGAACCTTCTTTAATTCCAAGCCCAACTCATTCCTCTCCTGGCCCAGAATTGGATTTGGAAGTTTCTACCAGGCCCAAACGTTCTACCAAACAACCTACCTATCTCCAAGATTATCATTGCTATCTCTCTTCCGCCAAACCATTATCCTCTTCTACACAAACCCTTTATCCCATATCCTCCGTCCTGACATATTCTCGCCTTTCTGATCCCTATCGGAAATTCATCCTGAATTCCACCATTATTTCCGAACCCAGATCCTTCAAGGAGGCTATAACTAATGTGGACTGGAGGCGTGCCATGGACATTGAGCTCGCTGCCCTAGCTGCAAACAACACCTGGTCCATCGTTTCTCTACCTCCTGGCAAGCATACTGTCGGATGTCGTTGGGTATATCGGATAAAGCGCAAGTCCGATGGTTCTGTTGAGAGGTTTAAAGCCAGGTTGGTTGCCAAGGGCTTTACACAACAAGAAGGCGTGGATTTTCTGGATACCTTTTCTCCGGTTGCCAAGCTGGTCACTGTGAAACTGATTCTCGCTCTAGCGGCTGCCAAAAACTGGTCTTTATCTCAACTAGACGTGACAAATGCGTTTCTCCACGGCACACTCGATGAGGAAATCTACATGGCTCTACCTCAGGGTTACACGGCTGCTACAGGTGATTCTCTTCCCCCAAACGCTGTCTGTCGTTTACATAAATCCCTGTACGGTTTGCGACAAGCTTCACGGCAGTGGTATATTACCTTTGCCCGAGTTTTGACGGCCGCCGGTTTTACTCAGTCACAAGCTGATCACACGCTATTTGTTCGAATGTCTGGTTCATCTTTTGTGGCTTTACTCGTCTATGTGGACGATATCATCATCACTGGCAATGATGATTCTGCTATCCAGAATTTAAAAAGCCTTCTCGGCAGAACTTTTCACATCAAGGACCTTGGTTGTTTGAAGTACTTTCTGGGATTGGAGATTGCTCGTTCGCGGACCGGCATCGCTGTCAACCAACGCAAATACTGCCTGGAATTGATTGAGGATGCCGGCTTACTCGCCTGTAAATCAGCTTCCACTCCGCTAGATCCCAACTCTCGTCTGACAAAAGGATTGGGAGAACCGTTGTCGGACATTACTAGTTATCGACGACTAGTTGGCAGACTTCTGTACCTCACACTCACTCGACCAGATATTACCTTCGCCGTGCACAAGCTGAGTCAGTTTCTCTCTTGTCCAACCACAGTTCATCTTCAAGCTGCTCAACGTGTCGTGCGTTACTTAAAAGGGAATCCTGGCCAAGGTCTACTGTATTCAGCCACATCTGACATTCGTCTGAATGCCTTTGCAGATGCTGATTGGGCCTCTTGCCCCGACTCTAGACGGTCGACTTCGGGCTTCTGTGTTTTTCTCGGTGAGTCTCTTATATCCTGGAAAGCTAAAAAGCAAACAACCGTCTCACGTAGTAGCACCGAAGCCGAATACAGATCCCTAGCAAACGTAACTTGCGAGCTTGTCTGGTTACATAATTTGCTCAGTGATTTACACGTTGTTGCTTCTGGCCCTGCAACATTGTACTGTGACAACAAATCTGCCATCTACATTGCTTCAAATCCGGTTTTTCACGAGCGGACAAAGCACATTGATATTGACTGTCACCTTGTACGGGAGAAACTTCAATCGGGTTTTCTGAAGATGCTCCATGTTCCCTCACACAATCAGCTGGCCGACCTCTTTACCAAACAGATGCAACCTGCTCTGTTTTCTGCTCTTTTGCGTAAGCTTCATCTTTCAAGCCTCTATCTACCGATTGCGTCTTGAGGGGGGCGTATCACAGATATACACAGGCCCAATCATTAAAAATGGCCCAGTCTGTGTAGGGTCAAGCCCAGAAGAAAGCTGAGAACGTAACAAACTCGAAGACGACATTCAGTTTTCGTTTTCTTCATTTTTCTTTTTATTCTCCACAATTTGTTAGAAGTTTGTTAGGAATTTGTTATTCTTTTCTGTATAAAGCCATGTACAGATTGATGATTATGGAATATAGAGAAAATTTCTTCAAACACTGAAATGTCTCCGGCAAAAACATGTAAATTTTCTTTCTAGTATATACTATGCTGTTGTCAACTTTCTCGTGTCCTGTGCATTTTCTGTTTGCAATCTCAAATATCAGAATCTGATTCTGCATTGCTGTTTCTGGGAAATGAAATTGATCTTTCTTAGGAACACAGAATCACATAATATAAAAACCTCTCACTCATATATATATATATATATATTGTATATCCAAAGGATCATGAAGTTTTTCTAATCAAATGGAACAACATGGCCGCCGAGTTGGAATGATGGTACTTCACGCACACCTTTCTTCAACCATTACTCTTAAAATATTTGCTACAACCACGAAAATCCCAGATATTGCGCCGAATAATACATACATATATATATGTATATGAAGTGAATGTTTCTTATCCAACCACTGCGTCATCGTGGACTTTGAGAGAAGAAAATCATGGAAAAAGCTGGAGCCTCCGACCGAACAAGACAAAGACATGGTGATCTGACTTTCTTCAAGAACTGATTCTCTCTTTTTTTTTCTTTTTGGTTTCTGTTCTCTTCATGTTCTGTTTTTTTTTTTTCTCTTTCCTATGTTTATGTTCTGCTTAGAATTCTGCAATTTCATCCGCAGAAGAACAAGAACATGTTCGGGTTCCGGAATCAGACCAACCCGCTCCCGAGATCGAGAATCAGAGACGATCATTAGAGCTCAAGCAGAGGAAATGGTGGATCTCTGTTTTCTTCTGCGCTTTCTTGATCTTGGTCGGAGAATCTCTCGTTACGCTTCTCCTGAACTTCTACTATGTCCAAGATGCTCGACAAGAGAGTGATCAAGATAAACAGTACTCAGGAACCTGGACGCAATCGCTAATCCAAAACGCTGCGTTTCCAATCTTGGTTCCATTGTTCCTCCTGTTTCCTTTGCCAAAACCAAACCCAGAAACATCTTCCAACGTTAACGAAACCGATCACCATAATCTCCGGTTTCGTCTTTTGTTGCTTTACTTTTCTCTTGGTGTTCTTGTTGCAGCTCACAGTAAGTTATATGCACTGGGGAAATTATACGCAAACTATGGATTTTTCTCTTGGATTTCGGCTACCCAGTTGATATTTACCTCCATTTTTACGGCTTTGATAAACCGATTCAAGTTTAACAGATGGGTTATAATCTCTATGATCATCACCATCTTGGCCTATATTTTCGGCACACCTGAATTCGGAGGATCTCCTGATGAAGATGAAGAGTTTTACAATCTCCAAGCTTGGTGTACATTCTCTGCCAATGTCGCCTTCTCGTTATCTCTATGCATAATGCAACTCGGGTTCGAGAAAGTGCTGGTGAAGATGAACAAGAAGGGGTTTCGAATGGTTTTGGAGATGCAAATCTGCGTCTCTCTTATAGCATCGCTCATTTGCCTCGTGGGTCTGTTCGCGAGTGGCGAGTTTAAGGAGTTGAAGCTCGATTTCGAGGGATTTAACAAAGGGAAATCTTATTACATTCTGAGTTTGGTCGGATTGGCTCTGTCATGGCAGGTTTGGGCAGTTGGTTTGACGGGTTTGGTGTTCTACGTGTCTGGTTTATTTGCAGATGTTGTTCATATGTGTGTTTCTCCGGTTTTGGCATTGCTCGTCGTTTATGCGTTTCGGTTTATGGATGATGACTTTGGCTGGCCAAGAAGAGGTGCTTTGATAGGAGCGGTCTTGGCTTTTGCCTCTTATGTCTATTTCCTGCGAAAAACGAAGAAGACGGAAATTGCAGAGCTGAACCCAAGGGAGAACGAAGCAGAAGTTTAGTTTCGAAGAACCCTGTGAAAGAATCTGTTCTTGTTTTCCAATGTATGTGATGCAAATATTTGTTAAAATCTGTCTCACGGATCCAAAAAGCCGCGTTTGTAAATGCTCTTTATTGATCAGAAGGAACATTATTCTGATACATACACCTCGGCAAAATCCATCGATATTAAGACAGATCAAGAACATCCATTACCGTATCGCAACAACAGCTACAACAATTCTCTAGCAGATTCTCATAACGTATCTTACATAACCCATTCCTCAAACGCAGATCCGATGCTGCTAAGTTTCTTTGAAGAATCCTTCTTCCAGAAGGGCTTGATCTCCGTGAAGTTCCCGGTTTTCTGTAATCAAAGGATGGTTCATCAGTTACTTGGAAATAGAGAATTATGATCAAACAGAACAGAGAAGAGAACTATTTACTTTGAGGCACAAGTTTCTGGTTGTATCGCAAATCGGGTAATCTCGGGGACAACAATGTCGACCATCCTTGCAACAAACCGCAGATTCTAGCCCGCAACATTTCCACGAGAAGCAGAGCCCGAAAATCTGCCTTGCACAGCAGCAGGTTTCTCCAGATGAACAATAGGTGAAAAGGTTGCATTTTGTCGGGCCAGGAGGCGATGGAGGAGGCGGATTTGGATGCGTTTTGATCGGGTATGAAGCTAACATGTTGATTCCGCACAATCCTTCTGAATTCCCGGTGTTCCGCTGCATGTAAATATACCCATCCATTCCCCACCTCTTTCCCCACGAGTTTTTCACGATCCAATAATCTACATTGTTCTTCGAACCATATCCTACAATGAGCACTGCGTGATCCAAAGACGTCGAACAAGGACCCGTGAAGATTCCCTGCATCATATCATGTTGAAATTGTCGATTCAATCCATCATATGCCAACAATCCAAAACATTCTACCATAAGATCGGTTCATATCTTATCATACAACTTACACTAGAATATAACTGAAATGCTCTCTCACTGCCGCATATGCCAACACTGACTGGCTGAGTCGCCACCGCTTTCATTAATGCCTTTTCGTCATTTGACGGTACATCAGTATAGCTATCAATTGTCACGACCCGTCTCTTTAACTGCAGAGCAGTCAGTCAAGACCCATATAAGTTATACTGTTGATCTAGAAAAGCATATTACAATCTCGGGAGTAGAAGAAAGAGACTGTAAGAGAAGACACTGAACCGTTACCTTCTGTTTGTTACAGGTTCCGTCGCGTTCTTGAAAAGGATAGTCCTCCTCCGTGTCCATTCCACCATTGTTGGCCACAAATTGGTAGGCATAGTCCATGAGACCGCCATTGCAACCGGTATTGTAAGACCTATCGCAATCAATCAGTTCCTGTTCCGAGAGGCTAACGAGAGATCCTGTCACAATCTGGTTTATCCCCTCCATAGCTCCCGTGGCAGAGAACGACCAACAAGCACCTAGAAAAGTTGCCAGAAATAATGTCATTATCCACACGGTACATGAATGAACATAGTAATGCAACTCTCTAAGCTACCGCGGACGAGGCCAACGTCGGCTCTTCACCAAGTCCCAGCATTTAGACATTCCCTCTTAACACAATTGTCATAAAGGAAACAAAAATCACCTTTCTCAAAGGCTTACTAAAGAAAAGCCAACACATGAAAAGTGGACTACACTTCCATAAAAGTAACCCATGAAAGAGATGCATCCTAATTACTAAATTTGAAGAACAAGAGATATTCTCATTGACAATTTAACAGAAAATCCAATTGCCCCTGAAACCTGCTTAAGAACCACATCATATGAATCTGAAACATCAACTCTTGAATCCTCAAGAACCCAGAATCGAAATTCAACATTTTTGTCCGTAACTTGCTGAATCCTCGAGAACCCAGAATCTAAATACATAAATTTTCTAATCTAGATCCCAATCTGAGTTCAAATTCATGACCGCCGGCGGTGAATCACGCCTGTTTTCACCAAACCGAAGCTCAATAATCAAAAGTTCACGTCTTAGGCCCGCAAGAAACACAAAACCGATTCACATACCGCAGCTTCCTTGATCTTTGACATTGGTCACAGCCCCTTTCGCCCTCCAATCAACTTCGTCCGGAAGATTTTGAACGTTTGCGCCGAGACTCTGATTCTGGTTCTGCCTCTGTCTGTGTCTCTTAATCCTCATCGCTGAAGCAGAAAGCCCAAGACGAGAGGTCCTGAACTCGTGGTGGGTCAGATCCGCTAAAGCGTTCAAAGACAAAGAATAAGTGGAGCTGCTCATATGATTGTGTTGGATAACGAAATCATGGTTGCCTCTGAAGACTTGAAGCCTGTATTGCCTCTCTTCCTCCGACGCGTATGCCTTCCCATGTTTCCGACACCAGTTGTCGAAGAGCTCGGTGATGTTGTCGGAAGATGGCGATGATGATGTTGCAGAGGAACAGAGAAGAGGAACGAGGAGGAGGAAGATGAAGGTGAGAGAGACAGAGGAAGATGACATTTTCTTCCTTGTGAAAAAAAAAACGTTTTTTTCCCTCTTCTGTTGGATGTTTTTTTGCCTAAAAATATGGGACGACTCTTTCCTCCCATTTCCAGTGAGATCTCGACCAGTGAAGATGCGCTCGTCGCAATCCAAACGCTTCTGTTTGCGTTTCAAACGCAAACGCAGCGTGGCGATGATATATATAAAAGTTACGAATCTACCCCTAATCGTTAAATATTTTACCTATTTTGGTCATTTTAAATATTGGATTTATCCGGTGTCATTTCGGTTATTAACCAAATAACCGAGCCGAACCGAACCGAATAAGACATAACCGTACTCGAACCGAACCCGACATCAAAACCGAACGGTTATGTTTTTCTTAAACCCGAAAAACCGAAATCGAAACCGAACCGAACCGAACCGAATAAAAAATAACCGAAAAAACCGTAAGAATAACCGATATTTTCTTTGGAACATTGAACTTTTTACCAAAACTGAACCGAACCCGAACCGAAAAATAACCGAACCGAACCAAACCGGAATTTATATAAGAACCGAATGGTTATAATTTTTCTATAACCGAAATAACCGAACCGAATCCGAACCGGAACCCGAATTGGCCACCCCTACAAAGAACCAAAATACCATTTTTTTCCGGCTAAGGTATTATCCAAAATACCATTTTTTTTTTTGTTAAAATTATTTCTCCATAAACCTTTTTACAAATGACATCATGTGATTAAAATAACTATAACCGGGAAATATCTTGAATATATTCGCGCTTTTATAATGACAGTTTACGTGGGTGAATCTTTTATACTTAGAACTGGAGTACTTGCATATCGGATGCAAGCTACCGATCATTCATGCTTTTTTTCCTTCAAAATAATAATACTTCAATATTTCTCTCACATATATATAATTAAAATTTAAATATGTGAGTTTCTTCAAATTACTCTTTTTTTTTTAAAAAATTTTTAGGCTTCTAATTTAACCTTAACACAATTTTTTTTTTTTTGAACTCGACATCTTTTTATCTAAATATCTTTTATCCAAAAATTTCTATAATGCAACACAAATGCGGTTCTAAAACAAGAAACTTTTAACGTCAACGCATTTTTTTTTTATCTATAATTAATGCTTGATGAACAATAATAAACAAATCGTCGTTAGAGTCGAAGTTAAAAATTGTTATCGATTTCATGAGTTAAAATATCTGTTAGAACATTTCAATGTTTGATATATCAATTTGAAATATTTTACTATTTAACCTATCAGTTAGATAAATTAAAAGTTTAGATATTTATTTGATATATTTTATAAGTTTGAGTATTTATATGAGATTTTTTCAATATTTTATAATAACAATTTGGGATTAGTTTAAAAATCTAACTCTAGTTTCCAAATTTTCTCAAAAAATATTTTAGATAAACTTTTTTTTAAAAATAGATAACCATACACGGATGGACCAAGATACAAAGTGCACAATTTCACAGGTTTACTATGCAAATTTGGATTATTTTTTATGTTTTTGTTGAGATGATTTGATTTGGTTTTTAGATTAAAAAAAATAGAAAAAGCCAACAACAAATTTTTTCTATTTAAATCAATAATTAGTTTAGATTTATAAAAATTAATATAACTGTATAAATATTCATTAACCAGAAACGAAAAAAACTTCTATTTATCGTATATAATAAAAATAATACCGTTAGAGAAAAGTAATTAAAATATTTATACCATATAAATCGGATTGGTGCTGTATGAGAGAAATTATGTCACTAGTAAATAGTAATTGAGGTTTTAGCCTTTTAGCCATTCCATATGCAGGAATATACATATATAGGTTATATTAAATTTAAATATATGGTATTCCTTTTTAACGAAAGTCTGAGTTTAGGTGTTAAAAGAATTTCAAAGTCGTAGCGGAAGGACCACTGCCTTAGTTGGGACCCACCCAAGACTTGTGACATTCAAGATTTTCTAAAATAGTGTAAAGCATGCGGAGACGTGACAACAAAATACGAAGCATGCGGAGAGTTTAAAATAAATAATGTTTCAATAAATTAACTTTAAATATCGACAAAATAATATTAATTGCATGGAATAGCAAAAACCCCTCACTTTTTGGTTTTCCATCTTTCAACAGAAAGTCGGTGTTTTTTTTTATAGAACATTAAAAAAATGTAAGACTGAAATATACTGAATTCAATACAAAAAATAATAAAAAAATATATTATTTATATAATATAAAAACTATAAAATGGTTTTATATTGAAATTTTTTTGAAGAACAAATAAACGAATTTAAGATTAAATAAACTGAAATATAAAATTTAAGATCAAACAAGATAGCATTTTTAAAAAAAATTGAGTTATACTGTTTCTGTGAAGAAAAAATGTAAAACTTTTCTCCTTTGATATAAAAGATACGAAACTTGATTGAATTTCTTAATCTGCTTTATTTATCTATCTTACTTTAATTTTAAAGTTATTATAAAACTTTTCCATCTATTCTAAATTAAAATATACTAGTATATGTTTATATGCACTATGATGATAGCTAAACAATTTCATTAGGGTTAACAATATTATGCATAGCGGTGAATCAATATATATTTATCGTAGATATGATCATATTGTTAGACAACCACTCTCTACTATAATAATAACAATTTATCTTGAAATCAAAATATAATAATGTGGATCCATTAATTTAGAGAAAGAGTTTAGGACAAATTGAATGTTTATCGAAAAGATTGAATAAAAAAAATATGAAAATTCATGATAGTGGTAATTCTATCTAGTTTACTAAAGATCGTAAGATCTAAATTTAAAGTGAAATTAACTTACACATGACACATTGCACTAGAAAATCATTTTAACTCTAACTACGTGAGACTGAAGATAATGTAAAAAAAAAAAAGAGTAATTATATGTACATGATTATTTATTATTCATTAGGAGAATTATTGGATTTTTCGAATTATATGTAATTGAAGTTTTTTTTTTTTATTTATGTAGATGATTATAGGACTTTTAAACGAAACAAAAAAAAAATCAAAGAGTTATAAATACAAAATCACGTTTCTGAAAAAGAAAGTATCTATTATTTTTTACATTTAAATTGAGAGCTATTAAAACGATATTAATAAAGAAATTATATTTTATTTTAGCACCTAATAATATTATTAGTATAAAAACAAACTAAATATAACTAAAAAATTGTTTGAAATCAATAAAATATATTCAAACAAATACTCTAATAAATTAATATTTAAATTTTCTATTATATAAACCATTTATTTTCTCGTCGTCAGATTAAAAAAACGTCTATGAGAAAATAAAATCCACGACAAAAGAAAAGGTAAATTCCAAAAAAAGAAGGAAATGGCTTTTTGGAATTGAAAGGCATGGCTGTCTCTGCTTATCGACATACGTAATTATGAGGTTATTGAAAATTAGGATGATTTCGAATGCTGCCATACAATGTTGAGAAAATCACACTTTTCACCTTTTCGTTTTTCCCCCTCTTACTTTCTTTATTTCGCTTTTCTACCCCCTTATTATTTATCTTTCGTTGCACACCCCCGCCCTGTAAAAATATTAGAAAACCCTCAGATCTGTAATTGTATTGATTAATAATTTATTATTACAGGAAACACCAGATTTTATCATATTTCGTTTTTGTGTCGTTTTTTTTTTTAATTTCCATTTAACATAGGCCTGATCTATACATTATGTACACATATAGATACAAGGGATAAAATTCAGAGTCGGAAATATATATATAGCTTTTTTTTGTTAAAGATATATATATATAATATAGCCTTTAACACGTCTTAGAGAAAATAAATATTAATTTGTTGTTCATTGTGTTTTCTTATTATATCCATAAGAAAACAAATAGCTCAAATAATTCGAATACTAAACAAATGGCTCTCAATCTACAACAATACTTTAGACATTGTGGTTTTTCTTAAGAATACAAAGAAATGTTTTCTAAAAAAAATGGTCATCTTTATAGTTTTATCATAAAAGTATCTTATAAAAAAATTAGAAAAAAATAATAATGTATGAAACCAAACCTAAACTTGAAATATTCATTGATACTCTCACCTTGAATATACATATTCCCATAATTTATAGGATCATACTTTCGTTGGAGGTCTATTGAGATTACATTATTTGAGGAAAAAAAAAGTAGTTGCACTATTTAAAGGTGTTATATTTTTTAAAGAAAAGTAAATGGCTAATTAAAAAAATAGACAAAATCCGTTAGAAACCCAAAGATAATAAACTTTGTGTGTCAGTGAAAACATTAATTATACAATATTCATTTAATAATTATAGTGTAATTATGTTAAAATAAAATAAATTGTATAATGTTAATACTCAGGCGATTTGATGTAATTCAAGAGTATTAAGTACTTTCATGATTTCTCTCTCTTTCTTTCCACTGAAACGGTGGAAATCGACAAAGGAAGAAACAAACCACAGAGAGAAGGAAAGGAAAAGGCGAAAGATTTACACACAAACAAGAAAAATCTAAGGATCAGCTTTTCCCATCAGATCAATCGACCGAAAAAAATTCTCGATTTTGTTTTCCTTGAGAAGCTCTTTGATCGAAGAAGAGGATCGTCAAATGCGCGATTTCTGTTTCTGGTCTCCTTCAGTACAGTTCAAGGTGACCAACTTTGGTTTCTTCGTCTTCATAGTTCACCGTATCGCGAGAATGGGTTTGAATACTTTCTCTGTTTTTCGGCTTACTGTTATTTTTCCACTGGTAACTGCTGTGATCGAGTTTCTGGGTTGTTCGGTGTTTGGTTACAGACATTCTTAGGCGAAACCTTGTCTGTAGTGAATCAGTTCTGTTCGAAAGTAGATCTGATCGATTGGTTTTCATCTTTTGCTGCGGAGTCATCTCCCTGATTCTAGTAGGAGTCTGCTGCCACTACTACAAAATTCAAAAGTGTTCGTAAAACTTTGAATTTTCCATGAACCTGACTATCTTCGCTTTTGTATTCTATGTGATTATACAGTCGAACTCTGTCTAGGTTTCCATGTAAACTTAATTTTTCACAGTAGTTGTGTGATATATGTAATTTTAATGCTTGAAATGTGAACTGTGAAATATCTGCTAATTTGGTACCTCCATTTTCTTCTTCTTCCCCCTTCTAGCTCTTTATTTAGTTCTAGTTCAGACTCTGACCTGTTTGAGTATTTGTTAGGGGTAAGTATGTGAGAGATTTGGAACTCAAGTGCCTCATTTTCTTGGGCTAATTGAGTTGTATTTTTGGAGCTCTAGTTGTTATTCTCTACGTGAATATGAGGATGTTAAATGGGTTGGTCTCATCATGGCACTTCTAGATCATACATTATGAGAAGGGAATGGTGGGCAGATATGTGAGGCGCATGCCATGGTTCTTTCTTCGTTGCTCTGTTTGAGAAATTTGCTTTGTTCTTCGTAGCTCATACAAGTGCAAACATATGTGGACAGTCTAGTAGATGACATTATAGTTGGCTCAGCGGTAAAACCATTTACCGTGGGGTCTGAGGTCGCGGGTTCGAATCCATCTCTCTACATTAAAAATGTAGGAATAAGGTGGCCTAGTATATTATCTTCCCCAGCACCCCCACTAGATGGGGATATGAACTAGGTTGGCACTTTTATAGATGTGTTTAAAGCTCTACTACTTTTAATGAATTACTCTGTTAATATATGCACACCTTCTTGGAGTACTTGTTTCGAGAGGGGTATGAATATGGTTGTCTGCCAATTCTTATGGCAAATGCAAGTGTACAAATTGTTTAACTAAATGCATTGTTTTTCTCTTTCTGCATATATATATATATTGTGCCATATATGATTTGTAGGACATATGCTGAGAAGGAAACAATATAGCAGAATAGTCCATTGGTGAAATTTTTTACCTTTAAATTTGTATTCATGTAAACATCTCATCGGTTGCTAATGATCTACTGTTTCGGGTTTTGGTCCTCTTCCTCGCACAGTAAGCATTTTTTACAAGTGCGGCTTTCATCATGTATCAAAAGTCCTTTATCCCTTATTCTGATTCTGACAATGGAATATTTTGCTCGGGATCTATGGAATGGTTTTCTCTCATGGAAAGTAGATAAAAAAAAACTAATGAGTGAATATGTTTTCTGTTCTTTTTCCAATGCAACAAGTTCCTCAGATAGATTTACATCTTTGCTAATGGTAAACACAACCTTGTAATTCTACTAGGAAGATCGGTGCTTTGATGGGATGGGACCCCATATCAATGAGGATTATGGTGATATCAAATACTAGTGCGTGTCATCTTCAAAACGAATATCATGGCGTCTGGTGGGCTCGGAAATGGAGTAGGCAGTTCAAGATCTTCCAAAGCTTTGAAGAGTTCTTCAAGTTCTGTCGATTGGTTAACGAGAGATTTACTTGAGATGAGGATAAGGGACACAGCAGAGGCTGACGAGGAGCGGGTAAGCTGTATCATTGATGGTGTTGGAGTACAGTTATTAGATGTTCAGAAGTGCTTCTGTTTGATGGAGTCGTTTTTCCATTTTCGATGTTTCTTTCATGTTCCAGGATAGTGAACCAGATATCATTGATGGTGTTGGCGCTGAAACTGGTCATGTGATCAGAACCACTGTTCGGGGACGAAATGGTCAATCAAGACAGGTTCGAAGGTTACAGAAAAATCTATCTCTAGAGTAGTAGTAGGACGTTGTTATATTATTTTTCACATATACATGTTTATTTGGGTGTTCAGACGGTGAGTTACATAGCAGAACACGTAGTTGGGACTGGTTCCTTTGGCATGGTTTTCCAAGTAAGTGCATTATCCTCTTGATTTTGTGACTATTGATTTAGCTCCTTTCACAAAGCATTTATGTTTCCTTCACGTAGGCCAAATGTAGGGAA